ACAGGAGACTGTTCTGGGTCTGGAATTACTCGATATTTTTATTAATGACTTGCATGGTAGAATAGAGAGTTTGCTTGTTAAATTTACAGATGGCATCAACATGGAAGATGCTGAAGACACTAGAGAAGGGGGATACAATTCAAAATAAGCACAAGTGCAAAGTATTATACTGACATGAGAATAGCCACCTTCAAAGAGAGTTGAAAGAGAGCAACTGTTGAGGCAGCAGTTCTACAGGAAGAGAGGTGCTGGTCCCACCCTTGCTATCTAATTGGGCATTTTAACTAAATAAGCAAGTAGAAAGCTTCTACCTTTCCATTACCATCCTGCAATGTCAAGGTCTCTGTTGAAATGCTGTTCAAAACATGTGAAGATCTGGGTACAGTTCAGAGAGATCAGCAAAACTGATGAGAAGTCTAGAAAACTGCGTATGCAGGATTAAACCTTGAGAAAGAGTCAAGTGTGAGTGCAAAATAAGACAATGCCTTGGTTTCTGTTGTCACCTGATTAGTGTCCTGTACCCTGAATAGAAATGGACTGAGTTGTCTGTTATGGCCTTATCTTTAGGTCCTGGCTGTTCTCTCTATAGCTTCCCTTCCCTCCTTCCAGCACATCTGCGCTGCAGCCACACAGCTCCTCCTCTCTCCATCCCTGGCTGCCCTTGTACAATCGTGCCTGAGCAGATACTCCTACTTTTTTGGCTTCTGTTCTCTGGTCCTTATTTGTGAAACTTCTTTCCTGCTGCGGAAATTTCTTTCCTGCTGTTTCTGGCCCCTAACCCAGCCTTGAGGAAAATAAGTTAATGTGTTGGTCCAAGGAGTGTAAACAACCACAAGACACAAGCAGAACAATTTCTTCATTACTAGCCACGGTCATTGCTTTTTTTCTCCTCAATGGGTTTCTTAAGGGTATTTGATTTTCTTGCTGGCCATGCTATGCAGGTGGAACTCACAATAAAATCTCAGTGACAAGTGTACTTCTTACGTGTTTTCAATTCTTGTGGGCATGGCATAGAGCAAGTAATACTGAAATCAGTTTTGTATGAAGGGTGAGGGCGGGGATCCTCTATAGCAGTTCTGAGTGTGGTGGATTATAACCTAAGCATGAGGCAACAGTGTCACACTGTTGTGAAAATGACAGGAATCGTACTGAAATGCATAAACTAAAGTGCAACCTTCCAGCCATGCTGAACAGTTTTTCTTGTCCTTGGCAATTTGGTTCATTGTGGCTGGGATATTGGGTACACTTCTGGGTGATGAAATTCAAGGAATCTGTGGACTTACTGATAGAGGAGAGAAAAAAAAATATTCCCAAATCAACCCCACAAAACACCAGATCTAGAAAATTATATAAGCAGTAAGACTGAAAGAATTTGTATTATTTAGTAAGAAGATAAGACTGATGAGGGATCTGATGATAGTCTTCATGTGTGTAAATGGTTGTGGAGGGAAGAAATTAATGAACAGTACTATTATGAACAAGAAAAAGCAATAGTCTTACATTTCAGCAGACGTTAGGACAGCCAGTCCAATAGTAAGGACAGCTGAGCACTAGACTGTCTTGCTTAAGGGATCTGCAGTGTGTTTATCACTGGAAGTTTTTAAGCACAGGTTGGATGAACATTCTTCATCCTTTGGGAACATGTAAGTGTCGACTGATCCTGCCCTAAAGCTGCAGGCATGGACTAGCTGTCTTGATGTGTTTCTTCAGGTTCTCTATCTTGGATTCATTTATAGAGAGGATTGTTCTGTGGCACTCCCTGGCAGAAATAAGCAGTTTTGGTATGCTGGTTCCCAGATAGGAATCAGGAACGAAAAGAAATTGAGAGCTCCCACTGCAGGGCAATTAGGCTTTCACAAGAATGTATTAAGGCAATATGAGTCATTGTGAACAAAAATTACAATGAGCAAATAAAGAATAAGGCTGTAGAAGGCAGACGTACATAATTCGTAGATGAAGGAAGCTAGTTCTATTGATAATACAGAAATAAAAAATGTGAAAAACTGTAAAGATTGTAATTTCTGTGTCAAAAAACACTAGCGGATGCTCAGCCTAGTAGATATGATAACTAAAGCATTTAAATTTCTGAGTAAAAGTTTTATATGAAAGTTGAGGGTCACGGGAAAGTGGGAAACTGCCTGAACACCGCCTTCAAGTGGAGCACTTCTTTACATCCCATCACTAATGCAAAACTGTCTCCTCCTACACCTGAGAAATATCTATACTTAGTGTATTGTTTGCTGTAAAGCATCTTTCTCTGCTCATGCATCTAGAAAATCCTGGCTCTTGTCTCACTTCTGATATCTCTCACTTGCATTTTTCCTGCTATTCTATTTTCTATTAATCTGAGTCAATTTAGCAAATGAGAAAATGAGGACCAGACAGCACATAATTTGATTAGTCATGTTCTCTTAAACATTTGCCCATATTACTGAAAACTAATTGTAATTCAACACTACTGTTTTTAGCCTACTAAAGCCTAAAAAGAGGCTGAGGTTATAAAACTAGTCCAGATGGGATTGTGCCTCCCTGTAGTCAGCAGAGATAAATGGGTATTTTTGGGGAGAGGTTCATGTGAAGTTATCTGTTTCTCTTTATTGTCGTCATATTGTCTCTCTCAGCAGCTATAAAGGGAGCCCATGGTGATTATTTCAGATGGAGAAATCTGCACTGTAGAAGTCTACATTCATTCTGAATCCTACCTCTTGTTTCTAAATAATGCAACCCTTTGCTTATTCATATTTTCATAGAATAGAATAGGTTCTTTGTTGCCCTTTCATGTCATGGGTAATAGGTAATTACATTCGGTAATGTAATTTGGTAATATGTGTGATTTCTGGGTTTGCTGATGCACTGTTTCCATGAGACAGTGGGTTCTTTTGCAGGATGAAGTTACCTGTAGAGTGTCTCATCTTCATCCCAAACTGCAGGTGAGGGAGGTTTGACAGAGACAGGTTGTGTGATTTACACCTGATTTCTACGTAATTGTAATGGCCAATTTGGACACTAGAGCTGCTGAGGGACATAGCTACTGAGAGCTGGTGGGTGGCAACCAGTGCCAACAGAGTGGGAGGAGGATAAAATGGCCTGGAGCACACAGAAACACACAGTCATTCAACCAAAACCAACCCTCTGTACTTACTGACTTTGTTTGATGCTTTTTACCTCCACTCCTCTCCTGAGTTCCTGGGCACTTGCTACCTTCACTGATTCCTAGAGCTCACTCAAGTGACATCACTGGGATTATCTTCATGGGCATTAAGCCTGCCTTGTTGTTCCTGTCAACATTTATCTTCCAGTTCACAGAATCGCAAGCCAGAGAATGGTTGAGGTTGAAGGGACCTCTGGAGATCATCTGGTCCAACTGCTGGCTCAAGCAGGGCCACCTAGAGCTGGTTGCCCAGGACCATGTCCACATGGCTTTTGAATATCTCCAAAGATGGAGACTCCACAACCTCTCTGTGCCAGTGCGCAGTCATCCTCTCTGCAAAAAAAAGTATTTCCTAATGTTCAGAGGGAACCTCCTGTGTGTCAGGTTGTGCCCATTGCCTCTTGTCCTGTCACTGGGCACCACTGAAAAAAACCTGTCTCTGTCCCCTTCAGGCATTAATACACATGGATGAGGTGCCCCTGAGCTTTCTCTTCTCCAGCCTGAACAGTCCCAGCTCTCTCAGCCTTTCCTTGTATGTCAGGTGCTCCAGTCCCTTCGTCATCTTTGTGTCCCTTTGCTGGACTCTCTCCAGTATGTCCATGTCTCTCTTGTACTGAGGAGCCCAGAAATGGACACAGCACTCCAGGTGTAGCCTCACCAGGGCTGTGTAGAGGTGAAGGATCACCTGCCTTAACCAGCTGGCAATACTTTGCCTAATGCAGTCCAAGATGCCATATCAGCCTTCTTTGCTGCAAGGGCTCATTGCTGCCTCATGTTCAACCTGATGTCCACCAGGATCCCCAGGTCCTTTTCTTCCAAGCTGCTTTCCAGCTGTCTGGCCCCCAGCATGTCCTGGTGCTGGGGTTGTTCCTTCCCAGGTGCAGGACTTTGCCCTGCTCCTTGTTGAACCTCATGAGGCTCCTCTCAGCCCATTTCTCCAGCCTTTGAGATCCCTCTGGATGGCAGCACAATCCTCCGGTGTATCAGCCACTCCTCCCAGTTTGGTGTCACCAGCAAACCTGCTGAGGGTACACTGGCCCATCATCCAGATCATTAATGAAGGTGTTAAACAGGACTGGACCAAGCATTGACCCTGGGGAAACAACACTAGTTACTGGCCTCCGAATAGATTTTGTGCCTCTGATCACCACTCTCTGGATCCAGCCATTCATCCTGTTTTCAATCCACCTCCATTTACTTCAGATTTCATTCACTTGCAGAGGAAATGAATTCATCAGAAGTTGCTTTTACCTCTGCAGCCCAGATGGCCTGCTGGCAGCTCAACAGATGATCTATCAGCAGATGTAGTCCCTGAACCTCAATCTAAGATGCAAATTCCTATTAGCATACAAAGATTTCACGTTACAGGAAACCTTTTTTAGTTCCACAAACTGGAATGGAGAAGTTCTTGCTTGTATCTGACCGTCTGATTCAAGTGTGTTTCTGAGTTATGGACATCAGTGTATAATGCTTTCCCTTGGAAAACCATCAGACTAGACCCTTCCCTGTTCCTGGAAACTTCTGGTGTGAGCTGTATCCTGTGAAGAAGGGAGTAAGAATGTCCAAGATGGAGGGTAATGTGAATAGCTGAAGGTTACGATGCAATGCTCATTCCTATGTCTATGTCTTGTTGATAAAAGAAACTTAAATCTTTTTCTAAATTATTATATTCAATATTTTTCAGGGAATTCTACAAAACACATAGTAGAGGAGGTGGTAGGAACTGATTTTCTCTGCTTGCCACAGAAACAGTATTAGTTACTAGGTTTTAAAAATGCCCAAAACTTACAATTTTAAATAATTAACAAACAGAAATGACCCTAGTGCATGGCATGACCTTCTTCACAACATGTACAAAGAGGACAATGCTGGAATACCTCAAGATCTCCACGGGCTTGAAGAGCTCCTGACAGACCATCAGGAGCAGGGTGGAGGTACATGGGCTATGAATGGAGAGCAGAGCCACTGGAGACTGAAACGGGAGTGAGAAAATTGAAGCAGATGTGGTCTTGCATGACTTCACAATCTATTGCTGTACTTTTCAAAAGCTGTAGAAAGAGACTGGGCTGTTCAGGAAGCCTCTCAAAGGATCATAGTCCTTGGGGCAGCAGGAGATATACATGAATATGAGAAACTGAGAATATGAGAAGAACAACATACAACAGTGCCAAATAAAATTTGTATTCCTAAGTGTGTGGTATTTTTAATGGTAAAAATCTGAAATGAATCAGTTTTCAGGAGCTGCTAATGTATCATTTTTTCAATAACATAATAAAGCAAATTGTGTATGGTATATGTTTCTATATGTTACAGATATATTTTTTCCATGTTAATATTAAATTCCTCTGTTTATTTTAAAATTTTAGAAGTATTTATAAAAGCTGAAAAGTAGAGGCATAATTTTTGTGCTCTTTACTTGCAAAAATGATGGTGTTTGTCTGGATGAAAGGATGAAATACCCTGTATCATCATCATGTTACTGTAGTAATGATTTATTAATGAAATCAATCAGTTGCCAATTTTCTTTAAAACTATGTTCTGACGCTATTTCAAGGATGTTAAAATACAGGAGAGGGAGTGAGAAAGTAGGGTTAATGTGTCAGTAGCAGGTCTGGATCTCACCATTGTAGCTTTTGTATTTTGATATTTTAGGTAAGGTGATCTTAGAAAACTTTTTGGGGCATCTAAACAAAATTAGCACCATTACATGGCAGCAAAAATCAACATATTAATTCCTGTCTAAGCCACGTAGTCTGTAATCAAGTCCAAGGCATCTCACATTTGGCACCACAGGTTACCAGGTAGCTTCTTTGGTTATGAATGGGGAAAATGATACTTCCTAAGCTCCAGAGAGATAGTGCTCATCCTGGGCTTGGGTTTTCTTAGGGGTTTCTGAAGCATGTGTAGGAGTCATCTCTCATGGACAAATCCCTGAAGGTGTCCTCACTGCTCTCCTGCCCCACCTCGCTCCCCTGTCACACTATGGGCTCTCTGTGCCCTGTGATCCTCCCTCGGGTGCTGTAAAAGATGGGAATCTCCTAATTAGAGCAGAGTCTGATGGGAGGTGGGTCCTGCCAGGCTGTGGATCTGCTTCACTGCTGCCAGAGGTGAAGTGGCCGAGGACGATGGTTTCAGACCAGCAAAGGAGAATGAATGTGGGGATCCTGCTGCTTCTTTTGCAGTGTTAACACCAGGTCCCAGATATTTTATTTTTGACTCCTCCTTCTCCTTTCCATTCATATCCAGCCAAAGGCAGGTCTGGGTGTCCCCAGTTGCCACTGTGTGACCCTGCCTGATCAAACACATCTGGCTCACCAGCTGTGATTGCATGGTCCTTGTGGGGGAAAGCATGTTTCCTCTAGGCTTTGACACCTCCTTGGAGAAGTAAGATGAAGTCCTGGTCTAAAAAGGAAAACCGTCTGTGCTTCCAACACATGCTGTGCTGTTTGGGTGCCTTCCACCAAAAGGCTCATCCAGTTGCCCATCACCTCCATTTGCAGATATTGTTACCTGCACAAAGCACTGAGAAACAGAAGGGGAGTACAGAGCAAATAGTGGGAAAGACAACATCGCCTCTTAATGGGACAGGAACAGAGGGAGCAGAGCAGAGATTGAAAGAGAAGCCTAGAAGAGGGAGACTCTTTGTCTTCTGATAACTCAAGATTTAGCACCCCATCTTGCTAGAAAATCCTGAGCCTCAAGATACTTTCCTCAAGTTTATTCTTCTCTTTGCCTCTTGAACAGAGAAGCAGCTTCTGCCAGACCCTGCAAGCCTGACCAAGAGCCCTAGGGAGCATTGGTTATCTGTGTGTTAACAGAGTCTCAACTCCAGGGTTTCAAATTCACCTATCCCTGCATCCTGGTGTCCTCAAGGACTGTGCACTCAAGTTTAGTATCACCTTTCTGGAAAACCTGCCTTCTGTCTCCCCTCACAACAGCATTAATTTTGCCGTCTCTCTGAGAATCACTGTGGGCATCCCAGCATGTCTGACTTCAGTTAATCTTGTCGCAAAGCACAGTGTTTTTTATTGCAATAAGAATCACAGTGAAAAAAATGTTACTGAAACCATAAATAGTCTACACATATGTCAAGCTTACCAGGAATCCTATTCAACACAGAGTGCTTGGAGACACAAGGCTTGAGTTTACTTATACTTTGTTCCAGACCAGGTCCTCTGTGTTTTTTCGTATAGTTTGACATGTCTTGCTAGACATCCAGCAGTAACTAAAATCCAGCAGTTTCCCTCAAAAGACAAACATCTCCATGTCCAAGTATA